CCCGGGGCCTTGGTGTTATCAGCACCACACTCTCCCGAGTGAGCCACGGGCCAGCCCAAAAAGCAACTTTCTGCCTGAGAAAATTCTCACAATTCTTTCAGCATCTTATCTTAAGTTTCACTGAGGAACAATAAATTCATTATGTACATAGTAAATCTAAATTGTGTTATAAATTTTTTTCTTGGGCCAGCCCGTGGCTCACTCGAGAGAGTGTGGTGCTGATAACACCAAGGCCACCGGTTTGGATCCTATATAGGGATGGCCGGTTAGCTCACTGGCTGAGGATGGTGCTCAGAACACCAAGCCAAGGGTTAAGATCCCCTTACTGGTCATCTTATAACAAAATAAAAATAAAAATAAATATATATATTTTGGCAGCTAAGCAGTAAGGAAATCCAAACCCTTGTCCTTTGTGTTAACAACACCATGCTCTAACCAAGAGAGCAAACTGGCCAGTCCTGTGCTGTAACTTACAATATATATCTGGCGGTTCTTACACTGAAGCAGTACTAATAACCATGGGTCATATGTTATAGGTATCTATGTTTACATTTAAAAAAACAAGTAAAATCTAAGACCACACCTTAGCATATCAACAAACATTTGCTGAGCTGGTACTTAGTCCTGCTATCAGCTATAAAAACCCAATGCATTCTGTTTTTAGAGTGGAATCGTGTAAATCGTGAATATGCTCTTTTATTTGTATCATTTCACTTCATCAAAGAACAGTGAGGAAGTAATCTCATTGTTTTAGAGATGATGTAGATGATGTAATTGTCAAATTAAGCAGTGATTCTGGGTCTAACACAACTCTAAAGCTACTGGTCACATCTAGCTATTTATATTTAAATAAAATTTAAAAATCAATTCCCCAGTCCTTGCTTTCGCCTAGCCATGTTTTCAAGTGTTCAATAGCTACATGTAGCTAGTAGCTACCATAATAGACAGCAAGATAGAGAACATTTCCATTATTACATGAAGTTCTATTGGACAGCACTGTTCTTAAGTTTATTTTAGAGCCATAAGGACCCTTGGAAATCTAGCCCCAAAGCCTCACTTTTTAGATTAAGTAACTCCCTAGTTTGAAAGAGAATTTCAGAAAAATGACAATTATTTTCATAGCCTTTAAATTAGAAAAGAACTTGGGCTTTGGAATTAAGCCAGGATTGAATTAAAAATGCCAGCTCCACTAACATACAAGGTCTTTCAGGCATTGGGAAGGTTTAAAAAGAATTAAATAAAATGACAAGATGCATAAAGGGTCTAAGAGATAAATATGACACATATTTTAGAACACTTCTTTTTTCCTTTGCATATTCACTTTAAGGATTTCAGGGTAAATGACAAAAACAAAAATAAAAACAAAAACAAACAAACAAATGACAAGATGCATAAAGGGTCTAAGAGATAAATATGACACATATTTTAGAACACTTCTTTTTCCTTTGCATATTCACTTTAAGGATTTCAGGGTAAATGACAAAAACAAAAATAAAAACAAAACAAACAAACAAAACAAACAAACAAAAAAAAACACTTGACAGATCAAAGCGTTAAATTTCATTTTTAAAATTTTAATTTTAGGGCTGTCCAGTTAGTTCACTTGGTTAGAACATGGTACTGGTAACACCAAGGTCATGGTGTTCGGATCCCCGAACTGACCAGCCACCAAAAATAAATAAAATTTAATCAATTATTAAATCTAATTAATTCAAATAAATTTATTAGATTGATTTTAATTAAAATCAATTAAATATAACTGTTAAATTACTGATTTAAATTTAATTATTAAATTGCAAATACTACAAGTTTTTGAAATGAATGCATTTTGGTTCTAAGGTTATTTCATCTAGGCATCGAGGTATAGTAAAATCTTTGAAAATATAGAATATTAGCTAGAAATCCCACATTTGTAAATAAGTAAGTTCTCTGGCTTTCAAATATTCACATATTCTATAGTTTTCCCCTTTTTCTGGCTGCTGGCCAGTACAGGATACAAACCCTTGACCTTGGTTTTATCAAAACTGTGCTCTAACCACATGAGCTAAAAGCAGCCAGACCTCTATAGTTTTCTATGGTCATAAAAGCAGTTGTTTTAAGAATAGGCTAAAAAGCTGATGAGATAAACATACCATATTCGAGCAGTCAATTTTTTGGATCAACACCTGGTAATAAACATCTACCATGGAAGTAAGAACTACACCATCTACTGAAAGGCCAATGTGAATAAAAAGGCTGGCATCTTAGCTCACTTGGTAGAGTTGGTGCTGACAACACCAAGGTCAAGGGTTCGGATCCCTGTACCAGCCAGATGCCAAAATAAATAAAAAATAAAAACAAGGCCCCTGCTATAAAATGAGAATCTATTAACTTCTTAAATTAGGAGTTCATCTAGAAACAACGTTATTCTAAGGGATTATATTGAGGAGTAAATGTAGAATTTAAATTAAGAGAAAGACATTGAAGAACACTCAAATCTGCCTATTGAGGAAGTCACCCCATCACTGCAGAGTAGATCTACATGAAATATGCTTCTGAAGTCAAGATTTGTGAGTAAGCACCAGGAAGGATAAAGCACAAAAGGAAAAAAATAAAAATAACAAAGCGAGAAAGAAAAAGAAAAACCCAAACCCCTATTTGGGAAGGCGTTTCCTAAAAAACATGCTTGTCTAAAGCATGCTCCTCCTGAAGAGCACAGACTGGTGCCTTACTCACTCCCTGGTCTCAAAGCTCAGTCTCCTGCAAAGAACCCTCTGATTACAGGGTTAGACTGAAGATGGACTCCTATGCTTATTCCCTAAGAGACAAGAGAATGCCACTTGGGGCTGGCAAAACTACCCGAAAAATAAGCTGATTAACATGTAGAACCTAGGGCCGGCTCGTGGCTCACTCGGGAGAGTGTGATGCTGATAACACCAAGGCCATGGGTTCGGATCCCATATAGGAATGGCCGGTTCACTCACTTCAGAGAGTGTGGTGCTGACAACACCAAGTCAAGGGTTAAGATCCCCTTACGGGTTATCTTTAAAAAAAAAAAAAAAAAAAAGAATTTGGATAAAATGACAAGCCCTCTTAACTAGTAATACCTAAGGCACTGCTCCAAATGCTTAAGATCCCAGTCTCTCTCCATAATTCATATTAGGAGAGAATGACTGAAACCACTCCAGTTTGGTCAACTACGCACCTCATTCTTGGTTTTGAAAAGGAAATGCTATATACAAACATACCTTCACCACACTCTACCCCTAAGGTTTGCAAAGTTGCTCCCTTAGGCATTAATTAAATTTAAGGCTGTATTTAACAAACTCATTTTTAAAAAATGTAATACATTCCCTCCAAGAAAGAGATTTCTGTCAATGTACTAACATTCTTAAGGAGAACTCTACAAAGATTGTTTACTCTTCATAGGATGAAATTCTGATAACTTCTTCCCCCTTTAATATTGTGACTGCAAAAGACATGTCTGGTGGTTTTTTTGTTTTTTTTTTTTGAGGAGCGTTGCTGTGTCATTTTCTTCTTTCCAGCAATACTGCAGTGAAAAAATTAGCAGAGAGCAAAATACTGACTACTCAGAGAAAAGGGGATCCATTTCCAAGTTCCTATAGTTATGTGAAAAAGTTATTTTCCCCCTCTATCCTTACTGGATTTCCTAATTAATAGATGTAGGTTGACTTAACAATAATATCCCATCCATCAATAACTTCATATTCTTTGAACTCTTAAGCATTTGAACCCAATAGTTGACACTTTTTTTTCCTGATAATGTGGCCCTGAAATTGGTTATGACACTGAGAAAGTTTTACCTAGTGCAGTGGTTTAAAATATGTCCAAAACTCTGTGACGTGCCTCCCTGCAGAGGGAGGGAGCAGTTCCTCTACCTTGAATGTGGGCTGTACTTAGTCCAGAATTTAGTGGAAGTGAGAGTATGTGACTTCTGAGATTAGGTCATAAAAGGGATTGTGTGCCTCCCCTCTTGAATTGCTCCCTCTGAGGAAAACTAGCTGCCAAGGTGTAAGGTCATTAAAGCAACCCTATGGAAAGGTCCACATGGCAGAAACAAGGTCTCCTGTGAACAGCCATGTGAGTTAGCCATCTAAAAAGCATCCTGCATGGGCCGAGCCCGTGGCGCACTCGGGAGAGTGCGGCGCTGGGAGCGCAGCAGCGCTCCCACCGCGGGTTCACATCCTATATAGGGATGACCAGTGCACTCACAGTGCTCACTGGCTGAGCGCGGTGCGGCTGGTCTCAAAAAGGACAAAAAAAATAAATAAGAATAAAAAGCATCCTGCAGCCCTGGCAAGTCTTCAATGACTGGCGCCCTGGTGGAAATCTTGACTGCCATCTCAGGGGAGACCCCTGAGCTAGAACCACATAGCTAAGCCACTCAGATTCCAGACCCCAGAAACCGTGTGACATAATAAATGTTCATTGTTTTAATCTGCTATATTTGGGGGTAATTTGCTTTTTTTTTTTTTTTGTCGTTTTTCGTGTCCGGCAATGGATCGCAACCCTCGGTGTTGCACCCGCACCTCGCTCAGCCAGTGAGCGGGAACCGGTCTGTATGTGGGATCCGAACCCTCGGTGGGAGCGCTACTGCGCTCCCAAGCGGCGCACTGCAGCAGTGCGCCACCGGGCCGGCCGGGGGTAATTTGTTTAACATCAACTAGATAACTAATACACCTCGACATTTTCTGAACTGGGAAGAAATGCCCCACCCAATTTCTACACAGAACCCACTACTGCTGAATTGCAGTTTGACAGGATTGTGGTACCAATTCAATGAGTAATGATGGAGATTATTATTTGGGGGTGTGTGTGTGTGTGTGCACACCTGGCTGGTACAGGGATCTGAACCTGTGACCTTGGTGTCATAAGGCTGTGCTCTAACCAACTGAGCTAACCGGCCAGCCCAGATCACTTAACAGCTAATCTTTCTTGGTTCTCTAACATTGAGATACTAGAGACATTTTTGAAGCATTTTCCCTATATCTTTACCTGCCCCTGAGACTTATAACTAGTTTCACAAACTCAGGGAATTCCGGAAGATTTGGATAAAATGACAAGCCCTCTTAACTAGTAATACCTAAGGCACTGCTCCAAATGCTTAAGATCCCAGTCTCTCTCCATAATTCATATTAGGAGAGAATGACTGAAACCACTCCAGTTTGGTCAACTACGCACCTCATTCTTGGTTTTGAAAAGGAAATGCTATATACAAACATACCTTCACCACACTCTACCCCTAAGGTTTGCAAAGTTGCTCCCTTAGGCATTAATTAAATTTAAGGCTGTATTTAACAAACTCATTTTTAAAAAATGTAATACATTCCCTCCAAGAAAGAGATTTCTGTCAATGTACTAACATTCTTAAGGAGAACTTTCCAAGCATTAAGTATTTTTAATTTATTACGTATAAAGTTATTAGAATTAATGTATTTTGGTGTCTCTAAACTAATTTCAAAATACCACCTAAAAGAAAATGTATTGCTCTCATTTTTTTCTCCCAAGCCACCACTGAACAAAATGAATTTATAAGCAAATTCTTACCTGCAGCGGTCTCCGTAAATACAGTACCCTCGCTGAAAATACTTGCACATTACACCATAGGGACTGTCAGACAGGTCATGAGAGTAACGACAGTTATCTCCTTCTTTACAAACTCCATGCATAAAATACCTGTGAAATAAAAGACCACAAAACTAGATTAAAAGAGACCAAAGCCAGCCCTCAAAGAATTCATAACTGATATATTCCACCAGTAAATACAGACATATGAAATGAACACAAAGAAAGTGGAACCAGACTGTGTGACCATAAAACGATGTATTCGGGTACTACAGGAAGGAAGGCTGCCCATAGATCCAGGCACCAATTTAGATTTTAAACACTCATCTGCACACTGGAGGTTAGGTTTGACCATTGTCCTCATTTTACAGTCCTAGGAAGGTGGCTTCTTTTTTTCACTAACTTTAGCCATAAAGGCAGCTCCCATCAGTTAAAAAAAACAAAAAACAAAGATAAAGAAGCAAGATCAGAAAAGGTCAGACTACTGTATATGTTTCACTTCTTCAAGAACCATTTTATTTATTTATTTATTTATTTATTTATTTATTTATTTATTTATTTATTTATTTATTTATTTATTTATTTATTTATTTATTTATTTATTTATTTATTTATTTATTTATTTATTTATTTATTTATTTATTTATTTATTTATTTATTTATTTATTTATTTATTTATTTATTTATTTATTTATTTATTTATTTATTTATTTATTTATTTATTTATTTATTTATTTATTTATTTATTTATTTATTTATTTATTTATTTATTTATTTATTTATTTATTTATTTATTTATTTATTTATTTATTTATTTATTTATTTATTTATTTATTTATTTATTTATTTATTTATTTATTTATTTATTTATTTATTTTTATTTATATTTATTTTTTTAAAGATGACCGGTAAGGGGATCTTAACCCTTGACTTGGTGTTGTCAGCACCACACTCAGCCAGTGAGCGAACCGGCCATCCCTACATGGGATCCGAACCCGGGGCCTTGGTGTTATTAGCACCGCACTCTACCGAGTGAGCCACGGGCCGGCCCTTCAAGAACCATTTTAATTCTTTAAAAGCCACATATGCTGGTTAGAGCACAGTGTTTTAACAAAGTCACGGGTTTGAATCCCTGTACCAGTTTTTTTTTTCCTTTTTGTCTTTTTTCGTGTCCGGCAACGGGATCGCAACCCTCGGTGTTGCTCCCACACCTCGCTCAGCCAGTGAGCGGGAACCGGTCTGTATGTGGGATCCGAACCCTCGGCGGGAGCGCCACCGCACTCCCCAGCGGTGCACTGTAGCAGTGCGCCACCGGGCTGGCCCAAGATTTAGTTCTGACAGACCACAACTCCCAAGACATGCATCTACATACAGCTGGTATGCAGCAAGGAGAAAGTAACTATTTCCTGGGTGTAAATGTGACTAGCTTTGTAGAGGACATTGCTACATTCAAGAGTGTCACAATTATCTGGAATGGTAGGTAGAAAAGCAGTGGAGATAAGCATATTCTACTTGCCCACTGAATTGAATACTATATAGAAAATAGATTCACATTTACCTAAGAAGCCTTGAAAAAGACTGCCCTAAATTGAAATGTGAAAGATTTTATTATTCAGGATTACCTGCAAATGAACTGTCTATTAAGAGTAAACAACATGAAAGTAAATACATAACTAGCACTTTGGTGGAAACAGCTATAATTATCAAGATCCTAAATACGGTCCATAACATAGTAGGCGGTCAAATTATAGATATAATTAGCCAAATCTCAACTGTTATTAGGTTTAACTTAATCTAACTCAAGTTTGAACTTTTGTTCAATTGCAGAGCTACTTTCTGCAAGCTTTAAAGCTGTTTGAGGTTAGAGTACAGCCTTGTAACACCAAGGTCAAGGGTTCGGATCCAGCCAGGCACAAAAAAATAATAAAGCTGTTTGAGCTCCAGATAACCCTAATTTTTTAAATTGTTTATGAAAAGTATCTTTAGTAAAGCTAGACAGTTTGGCTTGGGGGAAAAGTTTGTATTAATAGATAATTTAAAAAAAACTAAACAGGTCAATTATAATTACACTGTAACCACCACTATGGTATAATCATGCTTCAAAGTATCTGTAAAAGTATCCACAGTTGATAGCAGGTTATTCCTTTGATGCAGTGTCACCGTTTGAACAGTTTACTGCTGTGGAACACTCTTTACTCTCACATTTCATACAGACGACAAAGATGTCTATAACCTTCAACATTTCCTTGGGGTCAGTTTAAAATCAGATACAAGGCTGGCCGGTTACTCAACTGGTGTTATAACACCAAAGTCAAGGGTTCAGATCCCCATACTGGCCAGCCGCTGAGATACAGATACAGATACCAATAGTTTTAAGGCTTGATAAAATTATCTACCTAGATCTCAAGCTGGGAAGGTAGCTCCGAAATCTCAGGCACAATATTAGGAATTTTAGGTTTGTTCTTAAATCCTTCTTCGCCATGCTCTCAATCATTCAGTTGTTATCCTTAGGTGTACAGTGCTCTTGATAGAGANCCCGGGGCCTTGGTGTTATTAGCACCGCACTCTACCGAGTGAGCCACGGGCCGGCCCTTCAAGAACCATTTTAATTCTTTAAAAGCCACATATGCTGGTTAGAGCACAGTGTTTTAACAAAGTCACGGGTTTGAATCCCTGTACCAGCCAGCTGCCAAAAAATAAATCTTTAAGTAAGAAAAAATAAATAAAAGCCACATATGAAAACACAAGCAAAATTCAGTGGCAAAGAGAAATCACTCTTCCCACTGCCTTAAAGGACCACATGTATATGTGACCAACGGTTCTAAGTGGCCCTGGACCAGCAGCATCAGCATCACCTCGGAATGATCGGAATCTGCAAGAGACACAAATTGAGACCTTTCCTTGGACCTCCTAAATTAGAAACTCAAAGTAGTGTAAGTAACCGTGTGGATTAGGGGAGATGATAAAGGCCTTATCTTTTTTTTTAACAGACATCCTTGATCTTGTAAAGTGAATAGAACCCCCTACCCCCCCAATCCTCCCATCATTGACTTCTGTCAGGGTTCTTTTTTTATCCTTTGGCCCTTTATTGGTCTCTTACTCTTGAGCAGGTTTATTAAGATTTAGTTCTTTTTTTTTTTT